AAATTTGGCTTTCACCGATCTCGAATCCAGTTTCTTCATGTTGATCTTTCTTTTCATAACATATGCCGTGCAGCCAAAAACTCGTAGGTGATTGCGCCTTGGTGGTTTTCCGGTAAAGTGTTCAAAAGGACTCTTTCCTTGGTTGCTATTGGCAGTTACTGTAAGATTTCGTATGTGAGCTGCTGTAGATAAGGCTCTTACCCAGTAGCGCTTTGGTAACTTGGCTTGGATTAACAAAGACCGTCCCGTTTCAACTACAGTTCGATTGAAGCGTTCTGCAACTCCGTTGTGTTGTGGGGTTTCTGGAACAGTAAATTCTTGCTTTATTTTTGAATCTCTGCAGTAATCGTTGAATTGCTTCGATGTGTATTCAGCTCCATTGTCAGTTCTCAGTCTTTGAGGTGTTCCATATTCAGCTACATACTCTTTAATTTTTTCAAAAGCTTGGGATTTCTTGCTCATAAACTTTACGATGGAATGTTTCGAGTATTCGTCGATAAATGTAATCGCATATCTGGATCCACTGAGGCTAGGTACTTCAAATGGACCGAGTATATCTGAGTAAACGAGTTCGAGAGCTTTCTGCGACTTGTTCTGCGTTTCTTTCGGTACAGGTTTACTAGATTGCTTTTCAAGTGCACACGTTTCGCATACTTCCTTCAAATTATCTTCACAGCCAATGGTGCGTTTGACGTCATTCTTGTTTAAGTGTCCGAGCCTTTGGTGCCACAGATTAATACCTCCTTTGATTGCTGCTTTATTTGTGTTGTAAGTGGTAGAATGACATGCACTGGACCTTTGAAAGGTAATCTTCAGATAAAATAAACCACTGTCTTCAGTGAGATCGACTTGTGGACCATGATTTAATCTTAACTTTGCTTCACTTTTATTAAATACGAATTTGTGTCCAAATCTGACGGATCGATTGACAGAAAACAGGTTCATGTCATAGTTTGGCACATAAAGTACGTTTCGTAGAACCATTTCTTCCTCTTTTCCATTTTTCAGATGAAGCTTTACTGGTACATCACCAATTCCTTCAACAGGAGTAAAATTTCCCTTTGGATCTTTAAGATTTTTGATGCTGCAAGGTTGTAAGTTTTCAAACAGTTCCTTTTGGCTAATGATGTGATCAGTACAACCAGTATTGATAATGAGATGGTTTGGTTTGCCAGTACCACTGCTTGTTTCAGTACCACTGTTCATACATTGAGAATATGATGCAAATGAGTTGGGTTCTTTTGTGGATTTATCAGGTTTACTTGAACCTCTGCATGCTTTTGGTAAATGTCCCTTTTTCTTGCACTTTGAGCAGTATGCTAAACTTCTTTTACTACATTGCTTGGCGAAATGTCCAGGGTTTCCGCATACAAAACAATCTGCCTTCGGCTTGGTTGGACCGTTGTTTCTTCCTGACGTATTTCCAGAATACATAGCTGTTGCACTATCTTCTTTTGCTTGATTTCTTTGTAGTCGACTATCATCATAATTTTGTAAACGTGTTCGTAATTCGGTGAAATTTGCTGCAGGATTAAAACTCTCCTGTACGATGAAGTGCTCATATTTCTCTGGAAGTCCGTTTATAACTAAGGCATTGAATAGTGTTTGTGATATCTTTTCACCAGCTTCGGTTAATCGAGACATTAATTCTTGCGCTCGTATAAAATATTCGGATAATTTTTCATTTTCATTTAACTGTAATCGAGAAATTTGACGAACTAGACTTACTACAGTTGGCTTTTCCACGTTGGAATATCTCTGTTGTAGCAAACGCCACGCCTTTGCCCCGTCCCCAGCACCATCTGATGACAGGTAATCATGTCTTATATATAAAAGGCTATTATTGTCGAGGGCTAAAACAATATGACACCATACCGTATTATTTCTTTCTTTAATTTCTTCGATTTGTTTATTTCTTTGTTGAACTTTTGTCTCCCATTCGGCCTTCTGCTCGTCTGAAGCATCCCCTTCTAGCGGTGCTATCTCTTCCGGTGCGACTTCTTTCCCGAGAAGCGCTTTGTATAAACCTTTCGTTTGCATATACGCGGTGAACTTTGTGCTCCATGCTGTGTAGTTTTCAGCTTTTCCGTTATAAACTAGCCATTTTATCGTTTGGCTATCCATTACCACGATGCTGGGCCCATAACCTGTTAGATTATGTAATTTATTGTTGTAAAAGAAACTAAAAGGTTCACAAAATATGGTTTTCCCGCTTGAAAACAACAACTACACCGATAATGGCGAATCTAAAAAACGTTCAACGAACTTACAGTCACGTGTCCGATGTACTGTATATATTAACTGTATTACGGTACGTTATGTTAATTTATGCTAAATAATATCAACCATATAAATATAGTTTAAACTTTAAACACTAAAAGTACTTATCTCAACAGTACTAGCGTATGTCAGCGTATGAAAAATATCACTCATACGCCGGTATACGCTGACATACGCTAGGGGTACGTCAGGCATAGGTTGTATACGTTTCAAGCACGGTCGCGTATGGTGGCATACGCTGGCATACGGCGAGGCAGAAAATTTTTTTTAAGCATGCTCAAAAAGTTTGTGCGTATCGGACGTATGATTTATACGATAAACGTACTCTAGGCACGCGCTGAATATGCTAGAGGTACGATCCAGCCTTCGATAATTTGTGCGTATCGGACGTATGATTTATACGATAAACGTACTCTAGGCACGCGCTGAATACGCTAGAGGTTCGATCCAGTTTTCGATAATTTTGAAAATAGTATAGAATGGTTCACCGTGTCGAAGGCTTTTGATAGGTCCAAAAAGACTGCTCCAGTGACAGCGCCTTTGTCCATATTATCAAGAATCGAGTCAGTAAAATGTATCAAAGCGACTTCGGTTGATAGATTTGGTCTGAAATCAAATTGCACTGGCGATAGAATCTTTTCACCTTGTGGATGAAAAGATTCTATCGCCAGTGCAATTTGGTTTCAGACCAAATCTATCAACCGAAGTCGCTTTGATACATTTTACTGACTCGATTCTTGATAATATGGACAAAGGCGCTGTCACTGGAGCAGTCTTTTTGGACCTATCAAAGGCCTTTGACACGGTGAACCATTCTATACTATTTTCAAAATTATCGAAGGCTGGATTTACTGATGCCACTATAACATGGTTCAAATCATACCTATATCAGAGAATACAGGTAACAAGAGTGGATAATGCTACCTCTTCTGCAAAGTATGTCTCAGTTGGAGTTCCACAAGGGAGTGTCCTTGGACCACTCCTATTTATCCTTTACGTGAACGACTTGCCGTCTTGTATTAAGAAGTGTAAAGTGACTATGTATGCAGATGACACGGTTCTTTATTTCTCTTCCTCTACGTTGTCGGGACTTGAAGAAAATTTGAATGCTGACCTTGAAATCCTTCGCAGATATTTAAATGACAATCTTTTAACTTTGAACGCTGAGAAAAGCAAATTTGTAATCTTCGGCAGCACGCGTAAACTCAATTCATTCCGTGAGTTTTCATTAGAGATCAACGCACATAACTTGGAACGTAGAGACACCTTCAAATACCTTGGCATTAAACTTAATCAAAATATGTCTTGGTCGGACCAGATTGATGCCCTTAGCAAAAAAGTCAGCCAACGACTTGGAGTTCTGCGTCGTGTTAAGTATTTGCTGCCTCTACATGGTCGTTTGGCGATATATAACAGTCTCATTTTACCGTTATTTGATTATGCAGATATTGTATGGGGGGACAAGAACAATAAAGTCCTAATGCATAATCTCCAGGTTTTGCAAAATAACGCAGCAAGAACTATACTGGATTATCCCAAATACTTTTCCGGTACCGAAGCCCTCGCACAACTAAACTGGATGCCTCTATCAGAACGTCGACGCCAACATCGTTGTATTGGTATTTATAAATGTATAAATAAGTATATAAAATATCAATTCAACCTAGTTCAAAACGTTGAAATTCACTCCCACAACACACGCCGCCGTCAGGATTTACATCTTCCACGCTCGCTATATATATCAAGCAGTCGTTGATTGGAATAACCTTAATTTAGACCAAAGACAATCGAACAATTTGACCTCTTTTAAGAACTCTATATAAGAACTCTATATTAATTTAGACCAAAGACAATCGAACAATTTGACTTCTTTTAAGAACTCTATATACGATTTTAGCTGATATAATTTTAAACATACTTTTTATATATGCTATTATAATGTAGTTTTATTTGTATTTTAATTGATATCGTAGGACCTGCCTGAAAATCACCTTGTTGTGAGTGTAGCTTCCTACTGAAATATTGTCATAATAATAATAATAATAAAACATTCGTAACTCATTTACTCGTTCGCATACATCAGAAGAAAATCGCAGCAAAAATTACTTGCTATAAAATGTCATTGGAACAGCTTGCAGCATGGTATTTCCATATTAGAGTTACTATTTGTATGTTTTTAACTCCATTTACTTAAATTGGCTAACCATGATAAATACACTGAAAATACAGTTCAAAATTTTTGAGCTCTCAATCCCCTTGATTGCCTAAATTTTGAACCCAATCATTTTTCGACAGTTTTGAAGTCTAGTCGTCAACTGAAACGTCAACTCTCGCTCGCGTTTTACACTTTGAGCTCGTTCAAATTTTGATGAGAGTTAAGGAGAGTTTTGGCTATGTACGCGCGCGGTAATATCCAGTCAACTCTCATTCTCGTTGCTTAACCGTTATCAAAGTTTGATCGGGGTACGAGAGTTGAGAAAACTCTCATGCAAACTCTCGCTTTAACTCTCATCCTTGTTTGATGAGGGACGTCAAGACTTTAATCACACTAGTATAGATTGGCAACATCCCAGAAACGAGAAGATAATTTACAATGATTATTATGAAACAGCGTTTATTGTACAAATTTAAAGCCGTACAGTTTATTAACAAAAATGTTAAGATCAGATATAATTTCCAATGTACTCATCAGACATCAATTCGTAAACCCCTAGCTTTACAACTTTCATAATCCTCTATATCACGAAGCAACTTGCTGCCCTTTTCAGTAAAATTCATTTGAAGCGATAATGTTGTTAACACACACTGACCATCTTTCAGTGCCTGACACAAACTGGGTATGCATTGATCCGTTAACGAACACTGTCTAAGATTCAACTTAGTAAGCTTACAATGCTCTTTTGTCAGGGCATCTTCAAACAACATACATGCACCTTTATTACCTATGTAATTGTTGCTCAATGATAAAACCGTTAGTTGACACCGTTCATCTTGCAGTGCCTTAACTAGCGTAGGAATACATCGATCTGATAACTCACACGTTAAAACATCCAATGAATTAAGTTTACGAAGCCCTTTCGTCAGGGCATCACACAACACCATTGCAGCCTTGTCACGTATTGAATTACGTCCAAGATCCAAATGTGTAAGATTTGAGCAATGTCCATTGTTAAAGACTTTACAAAGTTTCAAAAAATCATGTGAATTAATTCCAGTAAGATTTAGAGTTAACTGCTCAAGTTGGCTCGCATACCCATTTTCAAAAAAATTGCACATGATTGGAAAACCTGTACTATATATAAACTGTGCTGGGCGACCACATTGAATATATTTAAGTATTAACGAATTCAGCTTAGTGTGTTCGTGGTTCAATCTACAGTTTGATTTCATTAATGCGCTAAATAATTGGTATAACACATATGTTTCGCTGCCACACATTTCTAGTTTATATAGGCATCTTTTTCGTAGCAATCCCAGAATGGCACCTACGCCTGCGTCAATATCCCACAATACCAAATTTGCCAATTTTTTCATGTGTTTGCAAACGAAAGTCACTGCTGCCCAGTCACTTGGAGAAAAATCATAAGATATATCATTGCATAGTTCTACCAAATCGTTTATAACAGTTGCTTCGCAAACTTCTTCATTAATCTCTTCATCGTCCGCTTCCCTTAAACACCTCGTTATAAACACTTCATGGTATCTAACTTCAATTTTACCATTAGTAACTTCCAAGCTTTCTGCAAACGCAAAAACACAATCCTTGTATTCCCTGTTAAAATTCTTGACTTTCTTGGCCAAAAGTCCTGCAATGAACTGAAGAACTAAATGCCATTTACCACATTCAACATGGTCAAAAATAAACTTCTTTATTTCGGGTGGAACGAATGTTTCAGTCACATGTCTTGCGGCAAGAAATTCTTGTATGGTTAAATGTATAAAACAAAATTGTGTTCGTAGTAGGAAAATAGGATTGGACAGACTGTTCAATAAACCTGATTTTTTCATTTCTTTATCAAATAATGTTTGATCAAAAACCAGTTGCCCGCTTTCCATACCAAGGAATGCTAATCGTTCAAGTTGCTTCAACGCTTCATGTGCCGTAGAGTTTCTGTCGGCATTTCTGTGATGATGTTTCTCAAAATGATCAATGGCTGTCTGGTAAAGTTCTGTCAGTGTTGTTGGAAGAGCACTAGTTTTATTTTTTGGGTCACTAAGACACCCAGAGAGTGTAACACACACTATAAAGCAGTTGACTGGAATGTAACATAAGTTTAACAGTTCTGATGAAGATTTTATGTGGTTCCATATCTTCGTTGTAAGGTCACTCGTGTTATTATTGTCACAAAATCGCCTGACATACTCTTCAATTTTATCGAAAGTAAAACCAATAATCTCCACCTTTCTATCAAAATTAATTCTCGAGTAGAAATCATCTGCAGTCGGTCTGCTCGTTACTACAACTGTTGCTCCTTTCAACAAGTCGCCCAAAACTAATTTAATGAATAAATTCATTGGTGACGTGCCAGTATCAAGATCGTTTGGAATGATGCGAGGTTGGTCTAAGTAACTTATGGGGTCGCCGTGATATTCATCTAAACCATCAAAAATAAGAACGGCTTTGTGTGGCTCTTTTGCAATTTCTTCGTAAATACCTTCGAACTTTTCTTCACTCAGTCCCGTCCCAAACCGAAGAAATGTCTTAAGGGATATATTTGTTAATTTGTTAATATTCTCGTTGAACCATCTGAATTTGAAAAAGAAGACAATCTTGTCGGAATAATATTCATCAACTCCATTAGCCCAGTCACGGAGAATTTTTTCGGTCAAGACAGTTTTTCCAATCCCAGGTCTTCCGATCACCAAAATGCTACGAGGAAATTCTCCCTTTGTATCTCTGTTTGGGTAAAATAAATCTCCAATCTTTTCTAAACGTATTGAGGTTTCAGGAACTTTCATATAAACGTCGTAGATTTCGTGTCTGTTCATTTCTTTAAGAAACTTATGCTGAGCTCGTCCAGTATGGATAACAACGTCAACATACAAATCATCTATATCAGCGTTTGGTCCATAAATAATGCCAGGATCACGAGAGCGATTCAAAACTTGTTCCTTGTAAACGTCGGTACAGTCCTCAGTCCCAGAGTCCTGGATGTCATTGTCCATAGTAGTACATTCTTGAGCGATAAAGTCGGGAGTGTCCTGATTCCTAGAGTCCGGAATGGTATCTTTCACAGCACCACACGCTTGAGCGACAGAGTCCGGAGTGCTATAATCTTGAGTGCTACAGTGTGGAGGGTTGTTTTCGATGCTTGTTAAGGGCTCATTTTCACCAGATACATTGTATGGCTTGCCAAGAAGATACTCAATAATAAATTCAGAATCACCGCTCCAGCCAACTCCAGAACAACTTTTGAACATAGGTAAACGTGGCAAAAGATAGATCACTTCCACAAATATAATAAAGGCAACAATAATGTTTATTACAGACACAATTATGCCCCATAACCATTTCTCTGACGCTGTCGCATTCTCACAATTTACCGATGTACTGTTCAAATTACGACTCGCATTCTTTGGTGTATTGATGTTGGATGTTACTTCCGCTGGTGGTAAATTACACTTGAATTTCGAATCGAAACCATTGGGATAGAAATATGTGTGTTGCGCAACAGTAAAAATGATCCCAAATAACGAACGCACAACGAGGTGGATAAAGTAGCGATAAAATACATAAATCCTGTTCCGCCCATGGACCGGGTGCTTGGCTTCGCCATCAGTTTGTCGTTCATGACTTGACTCTATTTCGTCGATACGCTTCCATACTAGCAGTGAATAAATAACACTGACAAGAACTGAGAATACAATACTCAGTAAAACAAAGCCGTATAAAGGCAGAGGGGAGTTATACGCCTGATCATATCTCGCAAAACATACCTGGTCGACCTGTTTCTTGTACGTGGCCGTACTTTTAGCATCAACAGAGCAAGAAAATTTCCCGTTCTCGCTTGCCCTCAAAGCTGCGGTAACAGCAGTAAATACCAATCCACAAAGGAAATGAACAATTACACATAGGTAGGCAGTAGTACCAAATCTTTTCGCTGCTAAATAATCCTTAACAGCGTCTATCATCTTATAAATTCATATCAAAGCTTGCTTAGAAAAGCTAAAGGCGTTTAGTTTGATCCATAGTGTTTGATCATAGTTCGCGACTTTGCTGTAATATAAGAAACTTGATCTCTAAATAAATTGTCAACATTGTCTGTGCTTAAGCAACCTGATAAATAATATTTTAAAACATGTCGTATCCGTGGAAGTGATATATACGGCATACACCAAATTGCAATGCCAAAATGAAATTTGTGACATTTTGTAATTGAAATTAATGGCAAAAAAGCCAAAATAATTTGTATTTACCAGATGTCCAAACTCTAAATATCTGAAGTATATATTTTTTGCTGTTGACATGTCACAGACACAGATGTGGTGTTCTGTTACCTATGTGTCATGGCGGTTTGTCATTAAAACCATATTTAGTAGTTAGTGCGTGCATTGAAGGCTGGAAGGCGAAAAAGTTCCTCACAACTTGACGCATTAAGCGGAATGGAATTTTACATGATTTCGTAGCGAAACAGACTTTGAAATGAGTGAGTTTATAAATGTAACCTACTGACCTGTGTCTCAATACAAAGATACAACAACACAGGAACCGAAACTTGGAACTGATACTATTTTTCAAAGGGGATTTTTCAAAGATATATCTGAGAAATACTGATATGACTTGTACCTTAAAAGCCCAAAAATAAAAAGAGATTTGTCATTGTTCATTTGACTATCACACGAAGTAAAACGTTTTTAGAGCCCTGTTTCGTTTGCGTCTTAATTGTCGTTTGCGTCTTAATTATAGCACTATATATAGGCATAATTATATGCCTGTACATTACATACCCTCACACATTCCCTTACATACTTTTACCTACCCTTACATACTAGTACATACCCATCATGCCGCCTCATTCGTAGCCAAGGTTGATGTTTAGCCAAGGTTGATTTTTAGTTTCTATAGTGTACGGCCAGCAGCTAGCGTTGTTTAGTATTAAAATTGTAAATTTTATATAAAAATACCACATTAGAATGCATTCTTTCAACGTGATTTGGCAGGCTTTGCGCGGTCTTTGTATTACTTATAAATTTTGTATGTAAGGGATGCGTGCGAAAGCACACACTATACTAAATTTTATTTGCCTGTTACTGAAAAAGTACTTTTCTTTCTTTACAAACAACACACACGGCACCGAAGTAGAAGGTTTTTTAGATGCCTATATATTGCCTTGACGGCTTTGCCTCGATCGGCAAATTAGCTCAGTACAGTACTGCAGTACAACTTTCTCAACAATAAAGCCACTATTTCAAGCTAACCAAACAGTGTTAAATTGATACGATCAATAATAGTCTACAAACTTTCTTTACAATCGTTTATTTGAATGACTTTATTCTGGCCGTTGTCGTCGCGTTGACCTCCTATACATCGTAAAGTCTCTATTAACCGTGCCAGGACTTTATACAGCTTCAATTTTCCGGCCAGCCACACGAACAAACCTGATATACTAGAGCCAATGAAATTGTTGATGAACTTGATCACTGAAAAATCCACATTACGTAAACTATAAGGATCATTAGCTCGAGGAAATGAACAACCAACTGCGCAGACAAAGTGGAAAGAGATGCCGGACTTGCCACCACCTTATATATGCACCTTGGCTTTCTTTAACTTTTCAGTATCGTAAAACGTGGTGCATATAGAGAGGAAATAAAGAAATTAAGATACCCCGGTTCAAGTTTACAAGTATCGCCATTTTATTTACCAAATTTTGCTGATATCAGCATGTTTACCAGTAATTTCTACCCGTTTCCCAGCGGTAAACCATGGTCTACATTTAGGGCGCTTAATTTCCTAAAGACCAGTTGCAATTTTCGCTGCGATTTTCTTCTTCTGATGGATGTGAACGAGTAGATGCGTTATGAATGTTCTGAGTATGTGTCCCACCGATGTACCCTCATCTCAACATTCATAACTCATCCACTCTTTCACATCCATCAGAAGAAGAAAATCGCACATAAAATCGCAGGAAAAATTGCAACTGTACAACTAAAATGTACAACTTTCAGAAGCTGAGCGAAACAACATCTATGATCTCTCCGTTGCAATAAATCTCTGAAAATAGCGTTCCTAAAAGGTACGGATAGGTGTTCTTTCACGTCGTTACGGAAAGCTATCCATTCCCGGCTACAAGTGTAAACGTAGCTTATATAAGCAAGGGTGGGTTGACTACAAAAATTTTGTAGTTCGCTATAACTACAGCTACTTCAAAAATATGTAGTCAGCTACAACTACTGCTACTTTTGAACAAAGGTAGTTCGCTACTGACTACAGCTACTGCTTAAAAATGCAGCGAATTATTTCGCTATTTCGCTACGCTATATTTTTTAGTTTTACTGCATCTACTATTAAACTCAGGCTGTAATGTGACCTATATATGCTATAACAAAACGACTTACGAGTAGCAACAGTAAACACAAAACAACAGTAAACACAAAGCAACATTTTTGTGAGCACTACTCAGTGTTCAGGAGTCAGCAAATTGACTATTGAGTATTGATAGTTTTAAGCAAACCGTGTCTCAATATCATGCTATTGCTAACAATTTTAAAAAGTAGCGAATAGCGATTCGCTGTTTGAAAAGTAGTCAACTACTTGGCTACTTTTAGGCAAAATGTAGTTGGCTATAACTACAGCTACTGTTTTAAAAAAGTAGTCAAAAACTACTGCATGGCTACTTGAAAATTGTAGTTCGCTACAGTAGCGAACTACAACTACTTCGCTACTACCCACCCTTGCTTATAAGATACTCAGTTTCTGGGTATACGTGTGATCCACATGAGTGCCCGTAAATTGAGGTACGACTTGCAACTTAAGAAATCCAAGGGTATTCCGGGGTACTATAAACCGATCGGAGAATAGTAACTTTTGTTGGTGAGGTTCACCATAGATTTGGAAAAAATTTGACGAGGAAATGTGCATTGATTTATTTAAGTAAGACGTCGAAGTATTTTACTACTTAAATGCCCTACAAATAGTAAACAGAAAACACCCATACCCGTTTGTCTTTTACGTACAAAAAGCATTTCGGGCTGGATAAAACTAGAATAGATATATATCTTTTCCAACGAATGAATTGCCATTTACCATAAGTGTCTTTATTTATTATTAATTTTTTCAGAAACCTTAGCCAACTGATTTTCTTTCCAAAAATAACAAAATGTTTATCGCGGTCATAAAACGCTTCAGTAATATGTTCGTCATTGAAATCACTGCAGTTTGCACACGTAATTTGTATATAATATTGTAGTCTCGAGATAATTTAGATCGAAAAATTATTATTTTAAATGTCGTCGTTTTAAAACACTCAATCTTTGGATTAGCATTCATTTTGTTTTTATATTATATGCATCAAAATAATTGAATGAACTTTTGTATAGTGTGGTACCAGGCGTATTCCTAGATTCCTAGTACGATACGTGTTTTTTTTTAATTCTTGCGTTTACTAAATGTCAAATTATGAAAAAATGATGGAAGTCAGTTTGACATTTTGATATACAGCGAAATGGAAAGGTATAGAAGTGACTCGAACTTCAATAACCATATGGCTAGCTTAAATAGTGTGGTATAAAATGTCATCAAAACAGCTTTCATGCTCATGCATGATTTCCATATTAGAATTACTATTTGTATGTTTTTAATTCTCTTTACTAAAGTTGACCAACCATAAATACACTAAAATTACAGTTCAAAATTTTTGAGCTCCCAATCCCCCTGAATTTTGAAATCATCAGTTCAACAGTTTTGAAGTCTAGTCTTCAACTCAAAAACGAAAAATAACTTTAACAAGGAAATCCTACGGGAGCTGTTTTCACGACACTAAGGGACGGACCATTAGAAAAGTGATGGGGGCAAAACCAAAAAAAATTATTCCCAGAAAAAAAATAGGGAAAAAAAATCTTCCCAGCCATAGTGCAAAAAAAAATTCCTTGCTTGGCCTATAAATTTCACTTAAAAAATATTTCCAGCCATCAAGTGAGAAAAACAAATTTCTTCTATAGGTATACAAAAAAAATATATTGCCTCTTAGAAAATCCCCCCCCCCTCCCATCACTTTTCTAATGGCCCGTCCCTAATTCGTACTATTATAGTAAACCTCCATCAAACAAGAATGAGAGTTGATGAGAGTTGAAACTCTCGCTCGTGTTTCATCGCCAACTCTCATCCACTTTCATCCACTCTCATCCACTTTCATCAACTTTGTGCTCGTTCAAATTTTGATGAGAATTTTAATTTTGATACGCGCGCGGTAATATTCAGTCAACTCTCATCAACTCTCATGCAACTTTTGTTCTCGTTCGAATTGGGGCACGAAAGTTGAGAAAACTCGCATGCAAACTCTCGCTTGCCAACGGCCCATCCTCGTTTGATGAGGGACTTTAAGACTTTAATCACGCTAGTGTAGATTGGCAACATTCCAGAAACGCAAAGATAATCTACAATTATCAATGAAACAGCGTCTATATTACAAATTTAAAGCCGCACAGTGAATTAACAAAAATGTTACAATAACATATAATTCTTAATTAAGAAAAAAAATTCGTAAACCCCTAGCTTTACAACTTTCATAATCTTCTATATCACCAAGCAACTTCTTGCCGTTTGCAGTAAATGAATTTAACCAAAGCTGCAATTCTGTTAGCTTACAATGTTCATCTCGCAGTGCCTTACACAAACTGGGTATGCATTGATCCGTTAACGAACAATCTCTAAGGCTCAACACAAAAAGCTTACAATGCTCATTTGTCAGGGCATCTTCATACAACATACCTACACCTTTATTACCTATTCTATTGTTCCCCAGTGATAGAACAGTCAGTTGACAACGTTCATCTTGCAGTGCCAAACACAAACTGGGTATGCATTGATCCGTTAACGAGCATTTATAAAGATTCAAGTTAGCAAGCTTGCAATGCTCGTTTGTCAGAGCATCTTCAAACAACATACTTACACCTTCATCACCTATGGCATTGTTCCCCAGTGATAGAACAGTCAGTTGACAACGTTCATCTTGCAGTGCCTTAACTAGTGTAGGAATACATCGATCTGTTAACTCACACCAACGGACATGCAATTCGTTAAGTTTACGAAGCCCTTTCGTCAGAGTGTCACACAACATCATTGCACCCTCATCACGTATTGAAATATTTTCAAGAGACAAATGTGTAAGATTTGAACAATGTCCATAGGTCAGGACTTCGCAAAGTTTCGAAATATCATGTAAATAAATGTAGTAATTATGATTTGAACTTAAAGTTAACTGCTCAAGTTGGCTCGCATACCCATTTCCAAAAAAATTGCACATGATTGGTAAACCTGTTTCGGTCATGGGAAAATCTTCAAGTATTAACGAAGTCAGCTTAGTGTGTTCGTGGTCCAATGTACAGTTTGATTTCATTAATGCGCTAAATACTTGGTCCAAGACATCTTGGCCTATTTCTTCTGTCTCAGTGTCACGTGGTACCGCACGTATTCCTAGTTTATTTAGGCATCTTTTTCGTAGCAATCTCAGAAGCCAACCTGAGGCTGCATCAATTTCGCACAATACCAAATTTGCCAATTTTTTCATGTGTTCGCAAACAAAAGTCACTGCTGCCCAGTCACTTGGAGAAAGATCATAAAAATCTGAATCATTGCTTAATTCTACCAAATCGTTTATAACAGTTGCTTCGCAAACTTCTTTAGTAATCTCTTCAGCGTCCGCTTCCCTTAAACACTTCATTATAAACACTTCACGGTATTTAACTTCAATTTTACCCTTATCAACTTTGAAGCGTTCTGCAAACGCGAAAACACAATCCTTGTATTCCCCATAAAAATTCTTGATATTCTTGCCTAAAAGTCCTGCAATGAACTGAAGAACTAAATGCCATTGACCACTTTCAATATGATCGGAAATAAACCTCTTTATTTCGGCTGGAGCGAATGTTTCAGTCACGTGTCTTGCAGCAAGAAATTCTTGTATGGTTAAATGGATAAAACAAAATTGTGTTCGTAGTGGGAAAATAGGATTGGATAAACTGTTCAATAAACCTGATTTTCTCATTTCTTCATCAAATAATGTTTGATTAAAAACCAGTTGCCCGCTTTCCATACCAAGGTATGCTAATCGTTGAAGTTGTTTCAACGCTTCATGTGCTGTAGAGTTTCTGCCTGCATTTCTGTGATGATGTTTCTCCAAATGATCAATGGCTGTCTGGTAAAGTTCTGTCAGTGTTGTTGGAAGAGCACTGGTTTCATTTCTTGGGTCACCAAGACATCCAGAGAGGGTAACACAGACTATAAAGCAGTTGACTGGAATGTAACATAAGTTTAACAGTTCTGATGAGGATTTTATATGGTTCCATACTTTCATTTTAAGGTCACTCGTGTTATTGTTGTCACAAAATCGGCCGACATATTCTTCAATCTTATTGGAAGTGAAACCAATAATCTCCACATTTCGATCAAAATCAAGTCTCGAGTAAAAATCATCTGCAGTCGGTCTGCTCGTTACTACAACCGTTGCTCCTTTCAACAAGTCGTCCAAAACTAGTTTAATGAATAAATTAATTGCAGATGTGCCAGTATTACAATCATTTGGAATGATGCGAGATTGATCTAAGCAACTTATGGGGTCGTCATGATATTCATCTAAACCATCAAAAATAAGAATGGCTTTTTGTGGCTCTTTTGCAATTTCTTCGTAAATACTTTCAAAATTTTCATCACTCAGTCCCGTCCCAAACTGAAGAAATGTCTTAAGGGATATATTTGTTAATTTGTTAATATTCTTGTTGAACCATCTGAATTTGAAAAAGAAGACAATCTTGTCGGAATAATATTCATCAATTCCATTAGCCCAATCATGGAGAATTTTTTCGGTCAAGACAGTTTTACCAATCCCAGGTCTTCCAATCACCAGAATGCTACGAGGAAATTTTCCCTTTGTATCTCTGTTTGGATAAAATAATTCATCAATCCTTTCTAAAAGTATTGAGGTTTGAGGAACTTCCTTATAAACATCATAGATTTCGTGTCTTTTCATTTCTTTAGGAAAATTATGCTGAGCTCGTTCAGTATATACAAGAACGTCAATATACAATTCATCTATATTAGCGTTTGGTCCATAAATTATGCCAGGATCACGAGAACGATTCAAAACTTGTTCCTTGTAAACGTTGATACAGTCCTCAGTCCCAGAGTCCTGGATGTCATTGTCCATAGTGGTACATCCTTGAGCGAAAGAGTCTGTAGTGCTATAATCCTGAGTGCTACAATGTGGAGGGTTGTTGTCGAAGCTTGTTAAAGGTTCACTTTCACCAGGTACATTATATTGCTTGCCAAGAAAATATTCAATAACAAATTTAGAATCACAGCTCCAGCCAACTCCAGAATGACGTTTGAGGATTGGTAAACATGGCAAAAGATAAATCACTTCCCCAAGTATAACTGCGGCAACAATACTGTTTATTACAGACACAACTATACCCGATACACATTTTCCTAATGCTGTTCCATTCTTACATGTTACTATATATAATGAACCATTCAAATTACGACTCCCATTCTTTGGAGTATTTATGCTGGATGTTACTCGATCCGTTGGGGGGAAATTACAGTTGAATTTGGAATCAAACCCATTTCGATAGAAATATGTGTGTTGCAAAACAGTTAAAGTGAACACAAATAACCAACGAAGAACAAGATGGACAAAATATAAATAAAAAACATATACCGTTTTCCTGTTCTGTCCACGATTCACGGCTTCGCCATCAGTTTGTCGTCCATGTCTTGACTCTATTTCGTTGACACGCTTCCATACTAGCAGTGAGTAAATAACACTGACAAAAACTGCGACAAAAACACTTAGTGGAACAAAGCCGTACAAAGGCAGAGGGGAATTATAAGCTTGATCATATTGTTCAAGACATTCCTGATCGACCTGTTTCTTGTACGTGGCCGAACTTTTACCATCAACTAAACAAAAAAATTTTCCCTCGTTCTCGGTTGTCCTCAAATTTTCGGAAACATAGGTGAGTGCCGATCCACAAAGCAAATGACCAATTACACATACATAGGCGACAGTACCAAATCTGTTCACTGCTAAATAATCCTTAACAGCGTCCATCATGTTTTAAATTCATATGTACTTCCTCTGTGTTCATTTCAAAGCCTCTTTATACAGTTCGAATTTTTTCAGCAGTCATTACCAAAATTTTGTTCAAATTTTACTAAATCACAGTACTGTGACTAAATTAAGCAAAATTTTACCAAATGTCGGCTTCCCAAATAATTACGTCATAATATTGCCAAAAAACAATAGTATTAGTTGCATCACCAAAGTAGAACAAATATGCACAAAAAGTATCTCAAAATACTTGTTGCTTTCATCCGTTGCAGTTTTTGCTAATGATACAGCAATTTTCGTCCAAGCACAAACCGCAAACATTTTCGCGCGTTTGTTTACGTTTGAAACGTGGCGTTTACCGTTGGAAACGGAATGTTTCACTGCTCATGTGACGTGTTATAGTGAAAAGCCTAATTCAGTTATTTTTCATGTTTTGATGTGCTTTCGTGTACTTTTCAGTATTTCCAAGCTCACGATATTGTAAGAGCGACCAAACTTGTTTATATTCATACTTTTTGTGACTAAAACGTATTATCATGGGCTTGGAAATATTGAAACGTGCACGGAAACACGTCAAAACATGACAGTTGCGCCAAAAATAGCTTAAGGCTTTTCAATGTGACA